CCCAGATGACGGCCCCGTGTTTTTGCACGGCCTCTCCAGATGATAGAAACAGAATGCTTTAAGGAGCTGAACGTGTTTGGACCTAACGGTACCCTCTCGCCAGACCTGAACAGGAGCCACCCTCCGGAACCGCCAAAGAAGGGGCTGCTCCAGAGAATCTTCAAGCGTCAGGTGAGAGACCGGCACCCGTCCTTCCTGGCCTCAGCCCCGGGCCGGCCCACTTCCAGGCGAAGCAGGAAAGGCCTGTGGTGGAGGCCAGAGCTGCAGTCTGCCTACCGAGGGGCTCAGGGCCTAGGGCAGTAGCTGCCTAGAAGGGGGACTCCCAGCCTGTCCAAAGCCCCCATGCCTCTGTGCCTGACAGGATTTCCGGGGCAGAAGGGGCAGGGCCAGCCCAAAGTTTCCCCTGCATCGGGGTTTCTTTCCCTCCATGCTGCCGGCATTTGGGGCCAGTTCATCTTTGTTGTGGGGCTTCCTGTGCATCACAGGTGCTGAGGCGCACCCTGCCTCCATGCGTGAGAGGCAGTAGCACCTGTTTCCCCCAGCCACGACAGCTAGAGATGTCTCCAGTCTTGGCTAAATGTCTCTTGGGGGACAAAATCACCCCTAGTTGAGAGCTACCGCTCTGTATAGCCTTTTTAATTTTTTTTTTTTCTAAAGAGAGATTTTTGCTGTAGGACACATGCACTCATTGGAGAAACAGAGAGAGACAGAGAGACAGGAAGCGAGAAATCATTCCCCCAGGGGAGATGACCATGTTGCAATCCCTTCTCCTTCTTTTTCCTCTCGGGATTTTGAGTGCACACACACATACACCTGAGTTTCAAGCCTCTGAGTCCAGGACTCAAACCGCAGCCAGCCATGCTGGAGTCCAGCAACGTAACCATTATGCCATCTGTTACACAGGTCCCCTGCCTGTATAGCCCTTTGAGGACTCGAGTTACGTAGATGAAGATCTAATGTAGTAAAGAGCAGGGAGAGCTGATGTGGGAGGGTGGTTCCCATAGAACCATATAGTTGCTTGGGGGGGACCTCACTGGATGCTGTGGCCTCCTGTCGGCAGCCAGAGGAGACTTCGCCCCTCGGGAAAAGGCTTGTCCCCTCAGAGTCCATCCTGGAGTAAGGGTTGGCTTGGAGCACATGGAAGAAGTACTCTGGGAAGGACTGCAGACCCATGAGAGTGAAAGGCTGTGGCCTCACCCGCCTTGCACCCACAGCGGTGGCTACAACAGTACCCTCCTTTGGTCCCTTGGAAAGGCCATGGCCCCAGTATTCCATTCTCATGCTAGAGTTTGGGGTGCCCCTGCCCAGCCCCTCTCCCCAGGAGGATGAAGGAGAGGCAGGTGAGCCTGGTCCCCAGGCCCCTGGACCCAGCTCCTGCCCTCTTCAGTAGCAGGGATGAAGACAACTGTTCATGGGGGCTCACTGTGGAGCAGGTTTTTCCTGTTCAATCCCCGTAAAACCCTGGGTCTTTAGCAATCCCTTCATCCCACCAACGTGTAGCGAGTGTCTCCCGTCAATCTGAGGACTTGGCACCCCTGCCCTGGGCACCCTGTGGAAGTGTGAGCCCCGGGGTGTGCTGTCATTTCCTGTTTCATAGGTAGGGAAACCGAGGCTGAGGGAGACTACGGAATGTGCCCAGGTCACACATCTGGAGTAGCGGCTGGGGAGCAGGCATCAGGCTTACCGAGGGGGCGTGTAGGCTGGTGCTTCTGAGAGTATGGCTTTATTTTCAAATCCCATGAACGTTTCATACTGTCCTTATGCTCATACTATTCATTAATAAAATACAGTATTTAAATTTTTTCATCAAGTATGACTGAAGCTCAAGAAAGAAATGACTTCTCCCCTCCCCAAGTTCAGATCCAGACTCGGCGTGCCTTGGTTGGGTAGCAGTGTATTGAACAGCTCCCAGCCACTGCTTGTCTACCTGAAAATTCAGGGGAGAAATACCTGCCGCCTGGGGCGAGCAGGCGGTGTGGTGGTCAAGGTGCTGGATTCCCACATGGCTGACTCTGATTTGAGTCCCAGACCTGGTGGCTTGAAACTCAAGCCAGGCATGTATGTGTGCATGCCCCAAATCCCTCCCAATTCCAAGACCAGTTGGCAGTCAGAGGAGACTTTGTATCTTGGGGTAAGAAAAAATGGGGAAGAAGGGATTGTGCCATGACCATCCCCCCAGGGGGTGATTGCTCACTTTCCCTCTCTCCGTCTCTGACAAGTGTGCACGCCTTATAGCAAAAAACTAAAAAAAAAACCAAAACAACAACAAAAAACATTAATTGGGACCAGCAGGTGGCATGGTGGTTAAGGTGCTGGACTCCCACATGGCTGACCACAGTTTGAGTCCTGGATCTGGTAGCTTGAAACTCATGCAAGGTGCGTGTTCATGCGTGCCTAAAATACAAAAAGAATGGAGGAGAAGGGATGGCAGCATGGCCGTTCCCCCTGTGAGGGTGATTTCTCACTTTCTCTCTCTCCCTCTCTCTGTCTCTCTGGCGAGTGCATGTATCCTATAGCAAAATTTTCTCAAATAATAATTAATTAATTAAAAAATAATGAATAGCTGCTGCCCAGAGTCGTGGAGAGCACCCAGTGAGGTGGAGATGTCCTTAGCATGCTGCTGGCTCCAGCACCCATGAGACAAATGCTTTGTCTCTTTCCTCCTCCTCTGCAACTCGAAGGGCCCAGTGGCCGTGGGGGTATCGAGGGAGCGCCAGGGCAGTAAAGCAGCAGCTAGTCATTCTGAGGGCCTTTGCACACACGCGCTCATTTCACTCTGCCAGCCACCCTGTGAAGAAGCTCTTTTACCCCACATTACAGGCAAGGAAACCAGCGTCCAGGTCACTCAGCATGGCGGTGGCAGATTGAGGATTCTAGCCCAGGCAGTCTAACTCCAGCCATGCAGGCTAAACCAACGTGCTACTACGGGAAGGGCCACCTCCTTCCTTCCCCCCTGATTCAGGGTTCTCTTAACCCCATGGCTCTTCCCAGGCACCAGTAATGCTCTGTCATTTACAAACAAATGGAAAAGAAGCAATAGTTCTTCCCTGAGATTCCTTAAATGCACAGTGTTATTTTCTGGACCTGGGTCTGCAGGGGAGAATACCGAAAGCAACAGGGGTCGCTGGTCCCCTCTGTAGGGCCCCCTGGGATACGCTGGCCCTAGGGCTTGACTATGAGGACTGACTTTTGTATTCTCTCTCTCTCCCCGCACTGCAGCATCAGAACAATTCCAAGAGTTCTCCCAATTCCAAGACCAATTTTAATCACCACATAAATTCAAACCATGTCAGTTCAAACTCCACGGGAAGCAGCTAGTTCCGGTTCTGGCCCTGACGTCCATGGTGGACCACCCAGACCCTCCTACTTAGACACGGCACCAGCGGAGCTTTGCTCTGGCTGGGTGACTGGGGAGCCTCCGAGCCAGGGACGGAAACCGTCCACATCCTTGACGTACAGCCTCGAGGTTTCTCAAAGAAATCCCCACTCAGGTCTGTTTTCTGAGGCGGCCCCCAAGCCGGGGTGGATCGGATCTTTGTCGAACATTGCAATAGAAACCCAATGGGATACGACACCTTGCACGCATTTTAATAGCGTCATACCTAGAACTGAATTTTGTCTTTATTATTTTTAAAGAAAAGTTTTGTAAATTTCTCTATTGTCTCAGTTTACATTTTGTATATTTGTATTTAAATGAAAGTCAGACTTTGAGGGTGTATATTTTCTGTGCAGCCACTGATAAGCCATGTGTTTTGAGACATTTTAGAGGGAGGGAGGGGATTTACAAAAAAAGAAAAAAAAAATGTGACTCAAAACTTCCAGAGCCTCAAATGAGAAAATGTTTTTATTAAATGTAGAATGATTCACATTTCACCTTTAAAGGATTGGTTGTATTTCCCCACACCCCTCTATTACCTTTCCCTCCCATCGCTCTCACACTTCTGTTGGCTTACAACAGTCAGAATTAAATGTTCAAGACACACTTGGGTCTGCCTTTTGCCCCAGCTAGAACATCCTCAGTGGGTGCCCACGGAGTCACCTGGGGTGCCCCGCGCCATTGCTCTTCAGCCTCTGCCTCCGTTTTCCTCTGGAAGGTGGCCAGTGCACAAGCTGGATGCCTTCAGCCCAGGGGGCTCTGGGCCTTTTTCTTTCTAAGCAGGTCCTGACTACTAATGCCGGCAGTTTTCCAGAGCTTACGCTTGGAGATGTTTGTTTTATTTCATTTTTAAGGAAAGCATAATGATGACAAGGAGTAGTCACAGGACCCCAAGTGTCCCAAACCCTCCGGGTCTAGAAAGCATTGGGAAGAGAGTCAGTCCAGTCACCCTGAGTGACCATCTTCATGTCTATGGAGGGGGAGGATGGCTTATCCAGGTTCTTGGGCATTGAGCGTGTTCTCAGGGTCTCAAGACTTTAATGGAGCCTCACAATTTTGCTGGCCCATCTGGCACGGATGAGTTTGTCTCTCCAGGCAGATGGGATGCCTCAGGAGAGGCCAGGCCACCAAAGATGCTCATGACAAACTCACTGTTACCTCCCCAGGAGAACTGGGGCAGAGGCAGGATCTAATTGGGTATCTCAAAGCTTCAGCCCCAAGTAGCCCCGAGGGGACTTGGTAGCTTCATTAGACCGAAGTCCTCTAACAACAGTGCCTGGACCCTCGCCACATGGCTACCCAGCCTCAGGAGCTGCTGGCCACCCCCTGGCTGCCTCTAGAAGTGACGAGGTGATGAGGAGACGAGCAAATCTGCCCTCTCCTCCCTCCGGGACAGGGTGAGCTGTTGACTTCACTGCTCCCTTGCCTGGCTGAGTCCAAGGCATCTGATTTGGCTTCAGAACTGGTCTCAGTGCCCGGCAGAGCCAGGGTCTCTCACAGCGTGGGCTCTGCACTACCTGCCCTGGCACCACCTGCTGAAATGCAGATTCCAGAGCTCCAGACCTACAGAATGGGAATCACTAGGAGTGGGGCCCAGGAATCTGCATCCTTATAAAGCTCACCAGGTCATTCTGATGACCCTGGAGTGTGAGAACCACTGCTGTAAGCCATCAGCAGGGCTTGGGGTATGGTCACCCCCAACATCTCTGCCAGGGCGACTGGCAGCTCTGGAACGTGAGCTTTGAGGGAGGAGAGAACCCTCAGCACATCAGCCTCACGCCTCAGTTTCCATGTTCTCCCTTCAGACTAGGCCTATGGGTCCTGGGGCATGCTGGTAGGAAGGGACCTAACCTTTAGGACTAATGATTTTGAGGTCACTTTACAAACAAATGGAAAAGAAGCAATAGTTGGACTTCCCTGAGATTCCTTAAATACACAATGTTATTTTCTTCAAGACCAGCCCTTCTCATGGGCGGCTTCCATTGCCTTCCTGGGCTGAGTACAGACAAAATACAACCAGCCATACCCAGGCGATGCCGAGGAAAAGCTCTCTGATCATCTCTTAGACCCCCAAGCTCTTGCTGACACTCCTTTCTTAATGAAAAGAAGGACTGTCATTCTCTTAGGATGGTCACCAACCCAGCCACCACCCTACCCTGCCTTCCAGAAGGTTCTTTCCTTTTGCTCAATTCATAGTAACTCAACCCTTACCAAATAGATCGGTGTTGAGAAATATCTCTTTGTATGTATCAAAACCAATGCACCATCCATTTGCAGTAGAGATTCCCCAAGGAGCAAGAAAGAAAACACAAATCTGGCTACTGTGTCTCTAGGCCGCAAGAGCCCCAGTGGTCTCAAGCACAGGCCTTTGCATTGACTCGGAGGATAATTTAAGTCTTCCTTTATGTTGGCCATCTGTCCTCCTTGAGTGCCCATGGCGGGTGGGGACAGAGTCACTTGGCCCAGCATTCCTTTTGGCCCATCCATTGCGTTGTAGCAAGAGAAGTCTAGAATAGTGCCTGAAAACGAGCTCTTCTCCACTCAGTCCCCACATCCCTGTCCTTCCCCACTCACTCCTATTGATTTCTATAGCTGCATTTTTTTAAAGATATTTTTAAATGAAAAATGAACACCTCCTTTCCCGCATCCACCTGTCCAGGATAAGGCATATTTGGACAATGAGTGGATCTAACTCTCTAATGCATTTGAGCTCTTCACAGAAGAGCCTTTCTTGCTCCAAGTGTGACATTTTTCTCACTTGATGTTTGCTGACTTAGTGCCTTTGAGGTGAGACGCAGGGTCTCGCGGAAGCATCTGTTTCCACTTTTCAGGAGACAAGCTGCTGCCCCAGTGGATGGAGCAGCCTCTGCCATGATCTCCATGACTTACAAATGTTTATCCAGGCCCTCGAAGCTCCCAGGATATCATCCAGAATATCTAGAAAACCCCATCCCCATCTTTGTGGAAGATGGCATCCACATCAACTTGGTCTCCAATCTCTCTTGGCCTGGGACATCACTTTCTAAACCATGAGGCTCGAGGGCTGCTGACTTGCACAGTAGCTAAGTGTTGTATGTCTTGGGCAGCCATGGGAGGGTTTGCTTGTTCCCGAAATGCTTTGCTCATCTTGGAAGGGTGGGTGGTGGGGAGGTCTGTGCTGGGACACAGGCAGTGTGGGCTTGGTTATATGTACACTCGTGGGGACACATGTTGGTGTTGAGTTCTGCGGACACGCACATGGACACTGCCTTTGCACCTGCCTGGAAGTCCAGGTGAGCCCCTGAGGATGCTGAGGGCTGCTTTCCAGGAAGCTAGGAAGTGTTTATGCCTCTCCAAGAAGCCCAGCTCGCTGTTGAAATTCCTCCTCTTCTTCCACACCCTCTCTTGTCCTGGAAGGCTCAGGTCATCAGTTCCTGTCTCCCACCAACTTTCTCACTGAGCTGCTGATCTCAGTACAGTGGGGGCACCATGGCCTCCTTGAGTATCCCAAGGCCTTGCCAAAAGAAAATGGTGGCTTCCTGGACAACCGGACGTCTCTGAGAGGAAGAGGGTGGCGGTCGGCTCTTTTCTGGGGCTGCTGCGTAGTTGAATATCTGGCTGAGTACCTGGACCTTTCCAAGGGCAACCTCTTCGGGTTGTCTTCTGCCCTCGTAACCCAACACTCTGAGATAGGACCTAACTTTTTAGCCTTTGCTGTGGAAAGATAGTGAGTCTGAAATCTTCGTGCATCTGGAAGCGACGTAGCTGTTTAAGTTAGGAACAGCAGAGATTGCGCTTCTTCATGATCACAACAGACCACCCCTGGGAAGCCTCGCCCCTGAGGACCTTCTGTACCTGCTCAGCCAACCACTCGGCTGCTAAAGTGCAGATGAGTCCAGGCCCCACACAGGCACGAGGTGTCCCATCTGGCCTAAACGATTTAATAAAAGGGTGTGACAGGGACAGTGGTTTAAAACATTTGAAAAGCTAGTCTCCCCTAGGAGGAAAGAACACTTCCCCCTGAAAAGACGAATCTCGATCTCTTTTCCCAGCTGGAGAAATCAAGTTTGTCATGGATAAAAAGTAAGTGTTCTCAGTTAGAAGAGCTTAGTGGCTGTTTGTGTTGTTCAAATAATAATAATCCTTCTAGTATCCAAAGGTTTCTTTCTTTTTTTTTTTTTTTTTCAGGGAGATTTTAACATTGCTCAATGAAAATAGTTTCATGTGGGAGGTCATTCCTAACGATAACTATGGCTTTTGTTCCTCTGCTGCTCTGAGTCTGTGTATGTTCCGTCTACTATGTCACAGTGCTGCTGTACCTAGATCGAACCACTGTTGTTTTTTTTTTAAGAGAAATAAATTCCTTAATGAAAATTGCATCGCCTTCCTTCCCCTCTGCTGAGTTCTTCTGTTTCTTCTGTCTATAGCAGTCACCTCCCAAGATGCCCGTACCTGCTGCTGTCACCTGGAGGCAAGGCTTGCCCCAAAGTCTACCTTCCTTCAGAGAGATAGTTCAGCACCCCTCACTCTGGACCCCACAGGTGGCCCGGCTCATCTCCTTAGCCAGGGCCTCGGGCTGCCGTCCCAGCCCTCCCCAGGCTGACCAGCTTCTCATCTCAGACCCAGCAGATGGCTGCGGAAGTGGTTCAGTCACTTGGCACCAGGCAGGGGCAGGGTAACAAGGGCCCAGGTCACCCCAAAGCTGGATGGGGGGGGACATTCGTGCCTCTCCCAGGCACGTCTTATGTAAAGGAGGTAGGGTCTGCAGAGGAGGGCTTTTCTGGCTCTTCGGCCTTCTCTGGGCCGGTCACGTTCTGGAAACTGGGGTGCCCGGCAAGGGAAAGGAGAGTCCTAATTTAGGACTTCAGACCTCGTAATTTAGGAGTGGGACTTTGGACTCAAATGAACTCTGTCGACTATATGACCTTGAGCAAAACAGCCTCAGTGTCTCTGCGGAATGGGGTGATACTCCACAGCAGGGGTCCTGGAGGACTTGGCGAGGACACGTGGAGAACAGTCGCCCTGGCTGGTTCTGAATCCCATCCGAGCCTCGAGCCGGCCTGTGGTCTTGACCTGGCACTAACCACACCCCAGCCCGGCGCAGCCCAGCCCAGCCTGAGCTAGTAGCTGCTCTCCCGGCAGCACTTGGCTGAGGCAGGAGCAGCCGAGTTGGGAGTCAGGTTTGAGGCTTGTTTCTGCCCCACTCCCAGCGCGGGGCCTGGGGCCCATACCATGTGTCATAGAGAAGTCGGGAACTGCAGTGACGTGCCCCCTTGGCTCCCACAGCAGGTGTCTCTCCTCAGAGGAAAGGCTGGGAAGAATCTGCTTACTGGGAGACTCGCTTTGGAACTGAGAAAGGGGCTGGCGTGGGAAGAACACTGTACCTGTTTGGAAACGGGCTGTCTTGGGATGGGGTCAACTGAGGACCTGGGGCACTTCCACAGCCGGGGGCGGGGGTGTTTACTGAGCTGTGGGGAGACTTCACCAGGGAACATGGAGGGGTGGAGAAGAAATGCTCTGGGCCTCAGAATAGAGGGAGCCATCAAGGCTGGGGGGCGCCTGCCTGCAGGGCCTTATGCTGTCTCTGGGACTTTCTCCTACCACTCCGGAAACCGGGCTGCCCAAGCCAGCCTCCCTTCTGAGACATGGAGTCTGAGGGAGAAAGTCCAGGCCCCACAGGGAGGGGCCCACCACGGCTCCCCTCAGCCACCTCGCCTTTTACACCACTCTGCCTGCAACTTCAGCCCCTTCCCAGACAGACGGGGCTGCTGGATAGGAGGGATGCCCACCCCTCACCTCCTCCGCCTTTCCAGGCTCCTTTCCCTCCTTACCCCAGGCAGCTGTGGTGGGTGAACGCACTGAGAAGTCATTGCCTGTCACTTGTACATTTCCAGGCCACTCGAGGGCACCGGCTGTCTCTCTGGGAGGGGTTTATTACGAGTCTTGGAGTCTACCTGCCACCTCTGGGGACCACGAGCAAGAGGAAAGTTGGACACTGAAACTAGCTGGTCAGGGCTCTGGGTACCAGCTGGTCCCTCAAACCGAGCATGCCCAGCCTGGGGTCAGTGGTGATGGAGCCCCGACCTGGCCTGGCTGCCTTGGGAGGGACAGCGGGAAAGCGGCCCGTTTACCTTGCTCCCTATTCAGTCACGGGACAAGTTTTACAATCTCGCTTTTATTTCTTCCATGAGCACACGCGAGAGAGACAGCAGCCCCCACGGGTCTCGATGTTGTGACCTGCCCAGCCTCAACCAGCCCGGACTGTGGGCAGCACATGCCGGTTGTGCTCAGGGAGGCTGTGAACCGGCACCGTCCCATGTGGGACAGCTCACGTTTCACCACGGCCCGCGGCTCAGAGCCCAGTGTTACTGTGCACCCGCCACAGCTGTCCTTCCTTACCTGCAGGGGACAAGTTCGAGCCCCAGTGGGTGCTCGAAACCACAGTGTGGAGTTCTCTAGAGACTTGAGTTTATCCCTATACACGCATGCCTATGGCGCAGTGAGAGGTTAATGGCAATAACCACAAATAGAACAACTATAACAAGGTTCTGTGATAAAAGTTTTGTGAATGTGCTCTCTTTCAAACTACCTTCTCGTTCTCTACACCCGTTTCCAGACCACGGTTGGCCACAGGGAACTGAAACCATGGAAACTGAAACCGAAACCGCAGTTAAGAGAGGGCAAGGGTGTTGTCCTCAGGGTGATCAGTAAAGCCGCTGCCCTCTCAGAGTCTACACTTGGGTTTGAGGGGGAGGGAGGGCATTGGCCACCACTGGTAGATAGACCAGGAGGCACCAGAGACACCCCCTTACACTCTAGGGAGCGCTGACTAACCTGGGTCCCTTGATAAACTGGCCTGGGGGGAAGGGGCAGGGGTCTGCATTTCCAACAAGCTGCCAGATGTTGGCTACCACTGGTCTTAAACAGTGGACAGATACAATCCACGATCATACTGCCATTTTTTTTTCTTTTTTTTAGAGAGGTTTTTGCTATAGGGCGCATGCGCTTGCCCGAAAGACAGACAGAGACAGAGAGACAGAAAGCGAGAAATCACCCCCCAGGGGGATGGCCACACTGCAGTCCCTTCTCCTCCATTCTCCTCTCGGGATCTTGGGCACGCCCGCACACGCACCCGCGTGAGTTTAAGCCACCGGGTCCGAGACTCGAACTGCGGTCGACTACATGGGAGTCCAGTGACATAGCCATTACGCTAACCGCTGGTCCCCATACTGCCATTTGTTAAGGTTTTTTCCATATGGCGCATGAGTTCACTGGAGAGAGACAGTGAGAGGGAAAGTGAGAAATCATGCCTGGGGCAGATAGCCAGGATGCAGTCCTTTCTCCTCCATTCTCCTCCTGGGATTTTGGGCATGCGCGCACATGCACCTGGCATGATTTTCAAGCTGCCAGGTCCGTTACTCGAACCATGGTTGACCATGTGAAAGTCCAACACTTTTACCACTATGCCACATGCTAGCCCCACTATGTATTTTAAATGAAAGGATAAACCAAAAGTGGGGGGTAAGGTGGAGAAAGTTACCTACAAGGAGAGGGGAACAGGTATGGAACCGATACAGGAGTCAGACTTCTCGGAAAGAGCCTTGTTTTGTAGATTTGACTTTGGAAGCATGACGAAATCAAAAGCAAATCTGGGTTTAGTAGGGAGAGACTTACTGGAAAGGATTACGCAGGCAGGAAAAGGGCTACTGTCACAGCAAGAAGGGATGCGACCACTGCAAAACGGAGAAGTGTTGCCGTATAGTCAGTCTGCAATCACCTCAAGGGTTTTCTTTTCCACAGAACTCAGTGGCGCTCGAAAGTCAAGTGGTGTGACTAAGTTGACCCGAGCATGTGTCCCCTGAGGTCAGCTATGCTCAGGTGGGCTGCCTGCTGATTCAGGCTGAGAGCCAAGTCCAGGGTCCAGGAGAAAGAAGCTTGACCAGAGTTTGGCTGATGATTTTGCTCCAAAGATCCGTGGGCTGACCATCCAACTGATTGCTGATGGGGCAGAGAACGGGAGTCTGGAGGGTCTGGCCTTGTTACTGATAAATGAGGGAGCACCCGGGGGCTATAAGTCATGGGGAAAGGTGGGTTTTGGCCGTATGCTGTTTTTTCAGAATGCGAGGAGGTGAGTAGAATTCTTTAATGTCACAGTTTTCCAGGAATACAGGGCCCAGATAAATTTCAGCACTGTCACATGTAAATGTTTTAGCGAATTATAAAACACAACTAAAAATTTAAAAGCAATTGCTAAAAAGTGAAGATAAATGGAATGAGTAAATCTACATGTATAATTGATTGCATAATCACAAAGATCATTTCCAAGTGGCTTTAAAGGGCAGAAATAGGGCCAGCGGAAGGTGGGAGGTTAAGGCAGCTGAATCCCACATGGCTGACTGCTGGTTCCAGTCCCAGACCCAGCGGTTTAAAAATCATGCCCTGCAAGTACACGCCCAAAATCTCAGGAAGAGCATGGAGGGAAAAAGATTGTAGGATGGCCATCCGCTCGAGGGAGGGGAGATGATTTCTCACTTTCCTTCTGTCTCGTGTGCCTTATGACAAAAACCTAAAAAATAAAAAGAAAAAGTAATCTGATACTAAAATGTATATTGAAACGTAACATATCTAAAATAGTCCAAACAACTTTGATAAAGAATAAAGTGGGAAAACTCACAATACATATTTAAATAAATGTAAAAAAAAAAGTCATGAAACAGAACAGAGTCCAGAAATAGACCTACACATACACAATCAATTGATCTTCACAAATGTGTTGAAACAATTCAATGGGCAAAGAAAAAAATTTTTTTTTCTTTTCTTTTTTTTTGGAGAGGTTTTTGCTATAGGGCGCGTGCGCTCGCCAGAAAAACAGAGAGAGACATAGAGACAGAAAGTGAGAAATCACCCCCAGGGGGGATGGTCACACCGCAATCCCTTCTCCTCCATTCTCCTCTCGGGATCTTGGGCACGCACGCACACGCGCCCAGCCTGAGTTCTAAGCCACCGGGTCCAGGACGTGAACCGCGGTCGACTACGTGGGAGTCCAGCGACATAGCCATTACGCTAACTGCTGGTTCCCAAGAAAAAAATTTTTAACAGTTGCTGGTGGATCAGCTACACACCTGTATTTAAAAACTGAACCTCCTGGGAGGAGAATGGAGGAGCAGGGATTGTAGTGTAGCTATCCCTTCTTGAGGAGAGGCATTTCTCACTTTTTCTTTCACTGTTTTTGTGGGTGATTTTTCATTTTCCCTCTCACTGTCTCTCTCTCTCTCATGCACAAGTACATGCACCCTAAGGCAAAAAAAAAAAAAAAAAAAAAAAAAAAAAAAAAAAAAAACATGCAAAGTAATGTAATCTGTTGGGACCAGCAGATGGTGTAATGGTTACATCGCTGGACTCCTACATAGTCGACCACAGTTCAAGTCCCGAACCCAGTGGCGTGAAACTCCTGTCAGGCGCGTATGTGTGTGCCCAAAATCCCAAGAGGAGACCGGAGGAGAAGGAACTGTGGTGTGGCCATCCCCCCAGGGAGTGATTTCTCAGTTTCTGTTCTTCTTCTCTGTCTCTTCAGTGAGCACGTGTGCCCTATAGCAAAAATCTTCTTTAAAAAAATAATAACCATCTGCAGGACCAGCAGATGGTATAGTGGTTAAGTCACTGGACTCCCACGTAGTCAACCACAGTTTGAGTTCTGGACCCAGCCGCTTAAAACTCACATCAGGCGCTTGTGCAGATGTGCCCAAAATCCCAAGAAGAGAATAGAAGAGGATTGCAGCACGGCCATCACCTCCCATGGGTAATTTCTCACTTTCTGTCTCTCTGTCTCTCTGACGAGTGTATGTGCCATTTAGCAAAAATCTCTCTCTCAAGAAAAACAATGTGACCTGCCTCCTACACACCCCAGCCTGAGCCCCTGCTCCCCTACTCCTAGAAACCATCAAGTGCATAAGGCTAAACTCTAGGTCTGATTTTGGGGCTGGCCCCAGCACTGAGTGTTGGAGTAGAGTTGTTTCCGGCATTGCTGTCCCAGACCCTCCTAACTTGAAAGAGCATTTGTCCTTGGCTTCAGCAGAAATCCTACAGGAACAAACAACTATCAGCGAGGATGGTTCCCGGAGGGCTGAGTGCCCTGGCGCCGATGGGTTGCAGGGTGAGGGGTGCCTGCCTGCCCAGGCCCTCCTGCCACATTCTTCCATGCTGTCCTCCACCCTCTACAGCTGCTGTGGGCCCAGTGGCAGACACAGATTCCAGGGGTCCAAAAAAAGGGGACCCAGCATGTGGGCACCAACTGCTCCATAGTGACCTCTAAACCCCGGTTCTTTCCCCACCTCTACCTTTGTCTGCACTTTAGAAACATCTAGAAGAAAGTAATGTGGGTGGAGAATAATAATAAAATATGAACAGCTACTATGTATTGGTGTATCTAGCACCAGACTCAGTGCTATTTTTTAAGTATTTAATTTTACATATTGATGTATGTATTTATTAATTTATTTTAATTTGACCAGAGAGGAGGGAGAGAGGGAAAGTGAGAAAGCAAGGCTCTAGGTCTGAGACTCAAACTGTGGTCAGCCATGTGAGAGTCCAGTGCTCCGAACCACCACGCCCCCTGCTAGCCCCAGGCAGTACTATTACCGTTCCCATTTTACAGATAAAGCAAGGAGCAGAGCCTGGATAAAATGCTGGTCTCTGATACAGCAAAACTCTTTTTGTTTGTTTCTTTGCCTGTGTTTTTTTTTTTTAAAAGAATTACTTATTTTATTTTTATTTAGTATTATTATTTTTCAACTTGACCAGAGAGACAGAGAGAGGGAAAGTGAGAAAGCAAGCTGCCAGGTCTGAGACTTGAACTGTGGTTGGCCATGTGGGATTTCAGCACCTCAACCATCATACCATCTGCCAGCCCCCAAAGTCATGTTCCTGACCCCCACTCCATGGCATCAGCATGTGGAGTCTGGATGACAAGATATTTGCAACAGCTGGGCAGCAGCTGGCATCCGAGGGAGCGTACTAGCCTGCTAGGCAGCCTGAGCAAAGCACCATAGACTTAGACAACGGGGGTGTATTGCCTCACCGTTCTGGAGACTAGAAGTCCAGGATGGAGAGGGAAGCTGGAATAGAGATCTGCAGGTCTGCAGTGCCTCCAGGTGGCAGAAGATGCTTGGGGCAAGGAGGGGCTCCAAAGCCCACATTGATGGGCTTTATAATCGGGGAGAGGGTCTCCCTCAGGAAAAAGCACCTGGCCAGGTGGAAGCCCACAAAGCTGGGTGCACCAGAGCAAGGTAGAGAGGTGCCCTGATTCTTGCTTCAGGGCTGGGAAGAGAGAGAAGGGTCTTTTTCTTTCTTCTTCTTCTTTTTTTTTTTTTTTTTAAGAGAGATTTTTGCTATGTGGCATATGTACTTGCCGAAGAGACAAAGAGAGACAGAGAGACAGAAAGCAAGAAACCACACCCCCCCCCCAGGGGGGATGGACATGCCACAATCCCTTCTCCATTGTCTTCTCAGGATCTTGGACATGCATGCACATGTGCCTGGCATGAGATTCAAGCCTCTGGCTCTGGGAGGCAAACTGCAGTCCACCGTGTGGGAGTCCAGCAACGCAGTCATTACGCCACCTGCTGGCCCTTCCCCACTGATTTGGGTTTTGTTTGTTAGTCTGTTTCTTTAGAGAGATGTTTTGCTATAGGATACAAGCACTAGCAGGAGAGAGAGAGAGACAGAAAGCAAGAAATCATCTCTCCCCCCACGCGGGGGGTGGCCACACCACAATCCCTTCCCCTCCATTCTCCTCTTGAGATTTTAGGCATGCACGCGCAGATGCCCAGCATGAGTTTTAAGTCTCTGAGTGGGACCAGGACTGGAACCATGGTCAACTATGTGGGAGTCCAGCAACATGACCATCATGCCACCTGCTGGTTCCTCCCCCCCACCCGGCCCCCTGACCCCGTTGAATTGCTTTGACACTTTTGTGGAGATGAATTGTATACGTGTGGATCTATTTCTGAACTCCTTCCAGAGAATGAAGAAGATTGCCCAGTTCGGAGGCTGCCCAACTCAGACGTGTGCCCTCTGGGAGACATGAGGGAGGCTGCAGCTGATTAGCAGCTGCTCACCTGGAGACAGGAGGGAGAACCCGTATGTGCACTGCAAGGACTCGAGTTGGGGGAACACAGTAGGGACCACCCATGGAACGTGAAAAGCCACCGGGTGGTCACACTGAATCCCTCGGGGGCAGACGGTCTAAGCAGCTCAGACCCTTCTACAGAAGCTGGGATCCTGGATTGCCCTCATGGGTACAGGTGGCTGGGTCGGAAAACGAGACCAGCTGCTATTGTGGCCACGTGTTTGAAAGGTGGGTGGGAAGGAGGTCGATAGGCTCTGGGACCAGTCCCCAGAAAAGGGTAGCCTTTGAGACAAGGAAACATGGCCTGGCCTGGGATACGTCCTTGGGGAGCCCCCTGGGAGGGGCTGCCTCTCTTGGATCTTTGGGTTATGGGAATGTGTTTGAGGTGCGGTTACTCTGGGACACACAATCCCTCCATGTCCTCACCTTCATGAATGTCTGTTACAGATGCAGAGCTGGCTCCAGGCTAGGGGCGGATGGGAGAGCAAGGGTCTCAGGGCCTTCCTCTGGAGCCCCTGCTGCTGAGGTCATCTGGTGGAAGTGACAGCATTCAGGTGGTTCTAGAGACCAGGCAAAAGCCAGTGGCGGTAGGACTGGAGCTCGAGACAAGGACAAGTGACCAGGAGAGGTCCATGGTGTCAGTCTATAGGTGAGGTCAGACTCCTGCTGGCAGGGGCACCCCAGCCCCAGACTCCCTGACCAGCCACCTAGCCAACGTCACTGCCACATCTGCATCCGGGGCCATCCTGGGGTGCCTGACCAAGGTGGCTCCTTGGGTCCATCAGGGCCCCTGTGCTCGGTCTCCTAGCCTCAGCCATGACCTGAAAGTCCATCAGACTCTAGTCAAAGGAGCACTTAACAGCAGTGTTCGCATCATTATGGAATGGGGACCAGAGGCGCCTCTGGTGTCTTGGGCTAACATTGGACGAGTTCCTTTTTCTTCTTCATTTTTTTCTTTTCCTTTCTTTCTTTCCTTCCCTCCTTCTTTCTTTCTTACTTTCTTTGTGCTACAAGGCACATTCACTTGTCAGAGAGAAACAGAGACAGAGAGAGTGATGGAGAGGGAAAAGCACCTGCCGTGGGGCATGGTCACGCCACAATGTCTTCTCCTCCCTCTCCCCCTCCTTTGGGGATTTGGGGCACCCTGCACATGTGCCCATTGTGTTCCTTAAGTCGCCAGCTCTGGGACTGGAACCACAGAGTTAGCCATATGGGATCTAGCCATATATTACCCCATGCCACAGAGCCAGCCAAGACCAGTCCCTTTTTTCGAAATGTGTAAGGATCCGGGCCCAGAGCCCCAGAAGCCCTTCATGCAGTGTGGGGAGGAAAGGCGGAGACAGACTCCAGAGCTGACTGGCTATGCCTGTGGTGCTCATAGACATGTTCCCAACACGGACATGAGGACACGAGGCCAAGAACGCACAGCGTGTCCTTCCCAGATACACTGGTTACCGAGCCCCACCCCCGGATTGCATTTGTTGGCTTTATGATCGTGTAATTACGTGCAGCAAACCCAGCAATGTTACACATTAGCTCGATTGGCTTTGACCGACGTGGAGTAGTGTATCTACCACAGGCAAGACCAAGGACGCGTCATTGCCCTGAAGAGCTCCCCTGTGTCCCTTTGCAGTGAACAGCCCTCTCCCAGCCCCGACTCCTCCACCACCCCCTAAGAACCACCGATCTGATTTCTGCCACAGTTTTTACCTTTTCTAGAATTTTTATGTATTTGGAATTGAATGCTATTCGACCTTCTCTGTCTGGCTTCTTCTCTTCAGTAATGTTTTGGGGTTCACCCAGCATATCAGCGGCACATCCTGCTTCTTTCTGAGGGATATTCCACTGTATGGAAGCACCGCACTTAGCTGATCAGCTCACCTGCCAGTGGTTCTTGCGCAGGTACCAACTTGCCCCCACGATGAATGAAGTGGTCATGAGTGTTTGTGTTGTCTGTCTAGATGTGAGTTTTCATTGCTCTCTGGAAGTAGAACACAGGGTGACGTGGTAAGTGTGGGTTCTGCTCCACCAAAAACCGCTAACTCCCTTCCAAGTGGCTGTGCCGTGCTGCGTACCAGCAATGCCGAGTATACCCCAACGCCTCAGCCGCCCCGTCAGGAGGGGAGCGAGTGAGTCTCATCTAAGGGAGGTAGCTGTGTTTGACTTTGCTGTTACTGCTCATTAAAATCTTGCATTTGGGGGACCAGCAGTTAGTGCAATGGCTATGTTGCTGGACTCCCTCGTAGTCGACCGCGGTTCGCATCCCGGACCTGATGGCTTAAAACTCACCCCGGGCGCATGTGTATGCGTGCCCAAGATCCTCAGAGGAGAATGGAGGAGAAGGGATTGTGGCGTGGCCATCCCCCCTGGGGGGGTGATTTCTCACTTTCTGTCTCTCTGTCTCTCTCTGGCGAGCACATGCGCCCTGTAGCAAAAACCTCTCAAAAAAAAAAAAAATCTTGCACTCGGGAGACAGCAGATGGCATAGTGGTTGAGGGGCTGGACTCCCACATGTGATCTGAGTCCCCGACATGGCAGCTTGCTGTCTCGCTCCCCCCCACACACACACACACACATACAACCTTTCTCTCTGTCTCTCTCTCGTCAAATTGAAAATAAATAATTAATTTTAAAATAATCTTGGGACCAGCAGATGGCGTAACGGCTACATCGCGGGACTTTCAAATAGTCAACTGTAGTTCAAGTCCCAGACTTGGATGCTTAAAATCCTGCCTGGCACGTGTGCATGCATGCCCAAACTCCTGAGAGGAAAATGGAGGAGAATGGATTGTGGCATGACCATCCTCCCCCACTCCCCAGGGGATGATTTCTTGCTTTCTGTCTCTTTGACAAGCACACATGCCCTAGAGCAAAAATCTCTCAAAGAAACAACAAAAAACTCACACTCAGGCCAACAGGTGGCAATGAGGTTAAGGCGCTATATCCCACATGACCGACTGTGGTTCCTGTCCCGGACCTGGTGGCTTGAAAATCACCCCAGGCACATGTGCGTGAGTGCCCAAAATCTCAAGAGGAGAAGGGATTGTGGCACGGCCATCCTCCCTGTGGGGCGATTTCTCACTTTCCTCCTATCTCTCTCTGTCTCTCTCCGGCAAGTATACACATCCTATAGCAAAAACTAAAACAAAATAGAACCTCGCACTCTATGGAGTTATACAATGACTTATAGATCTCATGTGCCAGAGATGAAAATAATTCTACTCAGTAGAATAAAGAACCCTAAATATTATGCATTTTCAGAACCAGCACTTGGCGTAATGGCTGTGTCGCTGGACTCCCACATAGTTGATTGTAGTTCGAGTCCCGGACCCAGTGACTTAAACTCACACCAGGCGCATGTATGTGTGAGAAGAATGGAGGAGAAAGGACTGTGGCGTGGCCATCCCCCCTGGGGGGTGATTTCTCACCTTTGGTCTCTCTGTCTTGCTCTTTCTGGTGAGCGTATGTGCCCTGTAGTGAAAACCTCTCGGAAAAAAGAAAAAAAGATGGGTTTTCATGGCCCCATAGATCATTAACTAGTTTTTATTTAATGTCACACTTTCATTCTGATAGTCCCTATTTTTGTTTCATTAATAGACTTAATTTTTTTAAAGGAGTATTTTATTTTATTTATTCATTCATTTATTTTAATTTGACCAGAGAGAGACAGAGAGAGAGAAGGGGGGGTAAGAAAGCAAACCACCATGTCCGGGACTCGAACCATGGTTGGCCATGCAGGAGTGTCCAACACCTTAACCACCACGCCATCCGCTGGTCCCTAGTAGACTTTATTTTTAAGAGCAGTTTTAAGTTTTGGGGATGCAGGTGGTGTGGTGGTTAAGGCGCTGAACATTCCCACATGGCCAGCCATGGTTCAAGTCCTGGACCTGGTGGCTTGTTTTCTCACTTTCTCTCTCTGCATGTCTCTCTGGTCAAAATAAAATAAGTAAATGAATAAATAAAATGAAAAATATTTTTTAAAAAAGGAGCAATTTAAATTTTCAAAAAAACTGGGCAGAAAGAGCAAATATTTCCCTCCTCTTCTGCCCCCAACACCAAGTCTCCCTCTCATCAACACCTTGTATTAGCGTGGTGCTGTGTCACAGTTAATAACTGATGCTGGTCTATTAACTGAAGTCTGTCCTTTGTGCAGCATGTCCATGGTTTTGACAAATGCGGGGCACGTGGCCACCACTGCAGGGTCACGCAGGACATGATACTCCAGATCCTCCGTGTCCCACCTCTTCGCCCCTCATCCCCTCTCCCCACCTCTTGTGATAACCCTTCTAAACGACTACTAATGCCCAGTTTTGCTTTTTGAACCAGTTTGCCTTCTTTCTAGTTCCCACAACAAGGAATGTGTAAATGCATGACACACGTTTACTGTATTTTTGTGTGGGTGATTCATTTAACTTTTTGGCAATTATGTTTTGGCAATGGGAGAGCAGAGGAAAATGACAGCAGAGAGCACGCGCTTTCCAAACGGAACCTTAGCACGGTTTCTGGTTTTCCTCCCCCATGAACTACAGCAGCACGGAGTCAGGACTCACTTGTTCGTGGCCTCGATATAGAGCCTAGAGCTCGGCACAGGGAGGGCTTAATTAATGCTTATTGGCCCAGTCGTGGATGTGCACACTGGTAAGAGGCTGCTGCTTCGCAGTCTGAGGCCCCACGGGAGGCTGGGGGGTCGATTCCTGGCCCACCCTAAAGCCGGGCATTGTGGCACGTACCTGTAGTCCTGGCAAGAGGAGTACTGCACAGTAAAATGATGTCTTTTAAAAAATTGTGGTTGGGGGGAACCAGCAGTTAGCGTAATGGCTTAAAACTCACGCCAGGCGCGTGTGCGTGCGTGCCCAAGATCCCAAGAGAATGGAGGAGAAGGGGTTGCGGTGTGACCATCCCCCCTGAGGGGGTGATTTCTCGCTTTCTGTCTCTATGTCTCTCTCTGTCTGTCTGGCGAGCGCACGCGCCCTATAGTTTAAAAAAAAACTCTCCCAAAAAAAAAAATTGTGGTTGGGGCCAGCAAGTGTCATGGTGGGTGGACTCCCACATGGCCAACCACAGTTCGAGTTCTAGCCTGGAGGTTTGCTTTCTCACTTTCTTTCTCTCTCTGGTGAGCACACATGTCCTGTAGCCAATTAAATAATAATAATTATTATTATAATTAAGTAAGTATTCTTTTTTTAAATTGTTGTGGGCTAGCAGGTGGTGCAGGGTTAAGGAGGCTGGACCCCACATGACTAACTTCATGGTTCGAGTCCCAGACTCAGCGGCTCAAAAATCACACTGTGTGCCTGCGGTGCATGTGCGTATGTGCCCAAAATCTCAAGAGGAGACTGGAGGAGAAGGGATTGTGGGCTGGCTATCCTCTCTGGGGGATGATTTCTCACTTTCTCTCTCTTTCTCTCACTCTTTGTCTCCAGCAAACACATATACCCTATAGCAAACTTAAAAGAAAAATTTAAAAAGGTGACTAAATAGAGAAACATACCTTTTTTTTCCTTAATTTTCATTGTTCCCAAGCAGTGGTTTGAGGATTACATAATAGGCTCAGGAAATGGCAGTGAGTAGGCCCAGCTGCCTTGTAAAGCAATTCACATCTAAGACTCTTAGAATGATCCGCAGCCCACCCAGGTCTGCTTGCATTCCCCACACGCGGTGCAGCAAAAGTACCAACTTCATACACTCACTGAGCACTCAGCCTCACTAAGTACTCACCACTCTGTTTTTGTTTGTTTGGGGTTTTTTTTTTTGTTTTTTGTTTTTGAGAGGTTTTTGCTATAGGGTGCATGCACTCGCCAGAAAGACAGAGAGAGACAGAGAGACAGAGAGACAGAAAGCGAGAAATCACCCCCCCAGGGGGAATGGCCACACCACAATCCCTTCTCCTCCATTCTCCTCTCGAGATCTTGGGCACGCACGCACACGCGCCCGGCGTGAGTTTATGCCACTGGGTCCGGGACTCGAACTGCGGTCAACTACATGGGAGTTCAGTGACATAGCCATTACGCCAACTGCTGGCATGGGCACCACTCTGAACTCTGTGATCCCAGACATTAAAGGTAGTCGGGAGCAAGCTCTGTCCCTACCCTCCAGGACAAGATAAGGAGGAGGGGACGAGAAGCAGGAGCACGTGTAGCAGAGTAGGAAGCGAGAACACATGTATTGAGGTTCTTCCGGAAACTCGAGTGGGACTGGTCTCCCTGTCGCGGACTGTGGGAACCAGTGCTTTATCTATTTAACGAACTTCCCCACCCTTTCTTCTTCTTTTTTAAGTTTCCGTTTGTTCTACTGATCAGAGAGAGAGAGAACACACCGCTAGTGGGGTTTTGTGTGAGCCACTCCCAGCTTCAACAAGCCCCAGATCAGGCTTGGACACTCAGGGGTCTCCAGATGTGAACCTGGAACCTTCTCATGTGGGTCAGCCTCACAGAGCATAGCATTTTACCACTGCCACTGTCCGCCCTCCACCCCTTTTTTCTGATCACGGACCCTCTCCTTCTGGCTGTAAGGGCAGACACGGGACCAGGCCTCGCTAACTGAAGTACCTTTTGTCTGGCAGCACCCCGCATCAAGCATATTAACCCACCTGGGCTGATCAGTCCCACGTCTTCCCTGGAGTTGATACAGGGACACACAGAAAGAAATCCTTCGGCCGCCTGCTGCCTAGGCTGAGCTGCCGCTGCTGTCCAAGCCTCCTGTCACGTGGAACAGGCTCCCTGCAGCCAGAGGGCCATAGTCCATGCACAGAGGGAGTGAGCCCTGGCAGGTTTGAACCCTGGCAGGTTTGAGCCCCAGGCTTCTGTCCCAAAGGTTCAGGTCCCTGAAGCATTTCTTTAATTTCACAGGGTCTTTTCTAGGCTCGGGAATCAACAATTCCTCTTGCTATTTTTTAAGTAGTCTGAATTTATTTGCTGTCATTTGCAACCTAAAGAATCCTGCTCTGATACATTCTCTTTACTGAAATCTTTTAATCACTGAGTATAAGAGTCACTGAAGCTAGACTTCATGAGATTTGGGAATGTGGCTGGAAGAAAGAAAAACAAAGACGAGCTAAAATAAACATACAAATAAAAATATAAAATCCCAGCAGTATTATTTACATTGTAGTCTGTGTACTCCCTGGATTTGTGAAATCCAGATGTCTAGGGTGGATAAAGGGAGGGTGCATGGAAGGTTAGAGGGGAATGGAAGGAAGGAAGGAGGGAAGGGTGGGTGAGAGGTGGAGGGATGGTGGATGGGTAGGGAGGTGGGTGGAGGGATGGAGGGTGGGCAGGGAGGTGGGTGGAGGGATGGAGGGTGAGTGGGAGGTGGAAGGAGGGATGGAGGGTGGGTAGGGGACGGATGGTAGAAGAATGGGCAGCCACAGGCCCATGAACAAGACGCGCTCGCAGATCCAGAGGGCATATGCCACTAACTGGGAGTGCTCAGGCAGACCAGGCCTTCCCAGAGTGTCTAGACCTTTGCCAAGTATCCTGGTGTAGACAGGTGGCTCTTGGCCTGGCAGAATCAGGTATGGGGGGTTTAGCCAGCAGGCGGCCCCCACCTCCTAGCATTTCTGTGTGACAGTGTCTGATGCAATATGTGAGAACAGAGGGGACGTTCTGAGCCATAGCGGGGCTGAGTCACCCTGGGCACTGTGGCAACTCTATTTCTGCCCTCAAGGATCCAGGAAGGACATTCAGGACCCAATTGGGCTCCGCTAATCCTCCTGGATAATTACAGTGAATCAGAGAGTAAGGTAGGAGCTCTAGAATGAAACCTAAAAGCCCTCTTGAGGCCAGAGAACCCAGGAGAGAAAGACTGTCCCCAGTCCTGTGCAGAAAACGAAGGAGCTTGGTCCTTAGTTCATGGATGGAGACTAACCTGCAAACCTGCATGCAGTCAACGTGTGGCTCAAAGGAGCGAGCAGGGGTTGGGAGAAGGCTCCAGCTGGCCACCCCGTGATCTACTCCCCCGTGCTGCTCCTGCTGCTCCTGCTTCATCTGTGGGCTCCTCTCTGCTCCCAGCGAGCTGCTGGCTTCTGCCCATCTCCTGGGGGTCAGGCAGGAACCAGCCCCTGAGTGATAATACCTTTGGTAAAGGAGAAAATGTTAAGTGAGTCGTGGCCTGGGCATCCCCAGACTTCCTCCAGCTCACTTCAGCAGCATGCACTTTCCTGCCGAGCAAACCTCCTTCCCGCGAGGTCCTCCTGCAAGGCTCTATGAGGTCCTGCCAGGTCTCAGGGGACTCGCTCAGTGTGTTTGCTGCTGTTGGTAAGGGGAGCCTAATGTGTCCTCTACCGGGAGTCATGCAAGGTCTGTGCGTTAACAACTTCTTAAAAATCCTTTCCATGGGGCCAGCAGGGGGCAAGACGATTAAGGCACTGGACTCCCACATGGCTGACTGTGGTTTGAGTCCTGGACCTGACGACTTGCTTTCTCACTTTGCCCCCACCCCACCCCCCCACCCCGTCTCTCTGGTGAACACGTGTGCTCTATAGCAAATTTTAAAATAATAATAATACTTCTTTAAAAAATTTTTTTTTCCTTTCTGAGTTATCAAAATCAGCACTGCTGGAGGTGATCGGCTGGGGTTAGGAACAGCGCAGGTGTCCTCACTGTTGCCTGGCCAGGCCTCTGGCGCAGCCTCCCTGGCAGGCAGAGGTATGCTCTCATTAAGAGGCATGAGCTGTTTGCTGCTGGGATGGGTCCACCTGTGGCCCGGCAGTTGGGAAACTGCCTGCCCACCTAGACGTCCATTCTTCCTGGCAAGTCCGGCAGCGGCCACGGCCTGCTGGCTGCTCTGCGCTCCTTTGCTCTCCGCCTGATTCATGGCTCCCGTAACTCGGCAAGAACTTCCAAAGGCAGAGCCAGGGCGCCGGGCTGGATGTGGGCTGGAGGAGTTCTGTTTTGCAAATAGCAAATGAGGTAGCGTTTACGGACATGCACCATCTACCCAGGTCTCGTTATTGTCACAAACATCCCTCCATGAATCGAGAAGCAAAGGGGCTCAGTGTCTCGTCCAAGTTCACTCAGCAAATAAGAGACAGAATCGGGATTCAGAGTTGGCTCCGAGGTCCCTGCTCTTTCTACGGTAGGTGCCAGCTTCCTTGCCTCAACTGGGAGAGCAGCCATTGAGTCACACTGGCACCTTCAGCTCTCTGGGTCTTACAGCACGAGGAATATTCCATTCCTTCTGTAAGTGCTTGTAAGTGGACTGGTGGGCCAGACCTGGGTTCTTGTTTTCTCCTGAGCATCAGACCCACCTAGACCCCTCTCTGCTCCAGGCGTGGTCTACACACCACAGCCTCACCCCAGGGCTGTCAGAAGGCAGAACCACAGGCCCGCCCAGACCTACTGAATTGGAATCTGCATTTTCCCAGAGCCTGGAGAGGCACTGCCCTAAAGGAGCATTCACATTCTCAGGTTCCAGCCCAGGGGATTCCGAGGTATACCCAGGAACCTTGTGCTTGACACGTTTGCAGGGCCTTCAGCTGAACTTCCCTGCTGGGCGTCAGCCCAGGGTCTTCGGGAAAAGCCCAGGGATGGGTGATGGGAGTTCAGTTGTCACAGGGTGGTGCCTGGGTTGGGAGGAAAGGGGCTCCTTCTCTAATGGAGTGGGGCTTTCACAGCCCTCCTGTCTCAGCTTTCTCCCGCCATTAAGATCTCTGTCAGGTGCAGGTTGTTGCCTGCCCTGGAGTCAATCCCAGAACAGTCTGTCTTGCCCACAGTTTCTTTGTGGCGAGTAAGTGTGAATGAACTCAAGAGAAAAAGAAATGTATTGGCAGAAACCAGGGAATCTCACAGAACTCAGCGGCAGTAAGTGGGCCTACCAAGGCTGCTGAGAACTGACCCAACACCTCCTTCTCAGGCCCCCTTAAATCCACAGGGCATCAATCTGCTTCTTAAGCTTCTCCTTTGTCCTTCACCTGGAAACGGACTTTTCCTGCCTCTCTGCACACACCATCTGTAATCCTGCATCCCACCCTACCTCTATGCCCGTGGACCTACCTGGGAGGTGCCCGTTTCGACGGGGTCAGCTATGACCAGCAGAGCACAAGGCAGGTAACAGAAAGCTAACAGAGGTGGCAGAAATACCCTTACCTGGGCCGGCAGGTGGTGAGCTGGTTAAGAGCGCTGGACTCCCACATGGCCTACCGTAGTTCAAGTCCCGGCCCTAGTGGCTTGCTTTCTCTCTTGCCCTCCTCTATCTCTCTCTCATTCTGTTCCTCTCTGCTCAAATTAAAATAAATAAAAGAAAAAAGAAAGAAAGGAAGACTCCATTAAACAAAATAATAAGAAGCCATTGTTTTGAATTTAGCTCCTACATTAACAGCTCAGTAGATCAGACCAAACCGAAATGGAGTCACGAGTGCTAAATGCCACATAATCAAATTACTAATAAAACTTTAACAAAGCAGATAGATCCCCAGACCAGTGTGCATGTGTGTGTGTGTGTGTGTGTGTGTGTGTGTGTGTGTGTGTTTTCTCCCTGAGAATAGGAGATGCCAGTCTATCTGAGTTAGTATAATGAGGAAGTCCCCTCTGCTTTAACCCTCGCAGAGAAGTAACTTGATGCTAACCAGCTGCCTTTTTTCTATTGCTCTGCTTCTTGTTCCCACCTTATAAAACCACTGTTCTAGGGACCAGCAGTTAGCATAATGGCTATGTCGCTGGATTCCCATGTAGTCGACCGCGGTTCAAGTCCCGGACCCCGTGGCTTAAACTCATGCCAGGCATGTGTGCGTGTGTGCCCAAGATCCCGAGAGGAGAATGGAGGAGAAGGGATTGCGGCATGGCCACACCCCCTGGGGGGCAATTTCTCGCTTTCTGTCTCTATGTCTCTCTCTGTCTGGCGAGCGCACGCGCCCTATAGCAAAAAAACAAACGAACAAACAAAAAAACTCTCCAAAACCACTATTCTGTTACTTCCTTGCAGCATTTGAGAACAAATAAATGTGTTTACAATGGTGCCAGAGAGTGAGAGCAATGCCTAAAGTTTGGGTCAATCTCTCACAGTTGAGTGATTGAGGGACCAGCAGATGGCATAGTGTTTATGTTGCTGGACTCGCATGTAGCTGATCATGGTTCCAGTCCCAGACCCAGATGCTTACAACTCATGCTGGACTCATGTGCATGCATGCCCTTAATCCCAAGAGGAGAATGAGGAGAAGGGCTTATGGCATGGCCATCCCCCAGGCAGGTGACTTCTCGCTTTTTCTCTCTCTCTCTCTGGTGAGCACACAGGCCCTATAGCAAAAATCTCTCCCCAGGGAGGAAAAAAAATTGAGCGGTTGACAAAAAGGGGGAGAACTGTTAAATTAAGTTCCTAAAGCTGCCTCTGTACATATTTGAAGTTTGGTCTACGGGTGTCTCTTTAACAGAACTGTAACCTCGTGGATGTGTCAACATGACGTAACCTACTCTTGGGGCAGGTAGCCACCTCTCGGCCAAGCATAGCTGCCAGTGCTCAAACTGCGTTCAGCTCCGTGTTGATAAATCTTACCCAAATGTGCGGCAGTCCCAGCCAATTCTGATTCTGGGATCTGTTTGATTAGCAAGTCTTTGCTCAATTAAACTCTGTTAAATTAAATTTGTCTTAAGTTTTCTTGAGGCTGGCCCCATAATGTGGTAAGGTATTATGCACAGAAAGCTAGAGCCTCCTTGACCTACCGCAGTTCAAATCCTGGTGCTGGTATAATCCCAACAGGATGGAGAGATGGAGAAGAGATTGCAGTGTGTCCACACTCCTCTGGGGGGTGCTTTCTCTCTCTAGGGAGCAAATGCCTTCTA